ATCGAAACCCGGTTTCTAGCGTTGTAAGTCCGCAGACATACCGCTGTGTCACTGGGGGGCACTTATCATAGCATCCACCCCACATTTTTTAAAGTTCATAACCGGGACAAAGGACTGGTACCGCAGCTTGTACTCTATACAATTCGAAACTACCAATGTTTAAATCAAATGAACTTAGAAAGCTTTTGTCTTACTTTTTCACCCGCAACATTGTTATTTATCAAGGTGATGCCTTCATATCTTTATATAACACATAATTAAACACTTTATCAAACTGTAAACATGGTGAACAATCAAACATGTGCCCATTTAAACCAGAGAGAACTTCGTTTAAAACTACTTCTTTCAAAAAGTCTGTATTCCAAGACTAATTGCTTGAGGAAATTTATCATTTGTTAACCTTAGAAATAACCACTGTTGCCTGACATAATTTAATTACACAGCTGATGCCTTTACCACACCACTTATTACTTTTCTTTGTTGTAGAATTGACAATTTTCTCCTGTCAAGGCCTCCACTCCAAACAGTCTAAACAGTGTATTATTTTTTTTTTGCCATTTTGACTAAATAACCAGGCCACGTGTCCTACAGCTGCTTCCTTGTAGAAATAAAGTCCTGCAAGATCATACCTGCGTATCACACACATGTTTGACACATGCGCAGAACCACTATAAAGTATCACTTAGTGTTTCATCCTGGACAGTACAGTTTCCTGCACGATGGATGAACAATCTTTTATATGCAGCTATGAACTGTTGAACAGTAGGTTGTTTTTACAAATACAAGATGACTTGACAGAAAGAAAGAGTTACAAGTTATCTTGGGTTATTTATGTGTCAAATGATACCTGAAGGAAGATGATGAAGCAAAATTACTGCACATATTTGATTGCAGTTAGAAACCCAGTAAATTAGGCTTCTACCTCCAGTTGCACACATTCTTTACCAGGTGACGTCTGTTAACTGAAAATTATAATTTTCTGTTTCTACTGAAAAATGTTTCTAACATGATTCAATGGAGATTTTTATTGGACTCTTTTAATTTTTAGCCAATGTATTTTTTGTAGTTGAACAAGTCGAAGAGTCTATTAAATATTCTTATAAATTTAACTGTAATATCACTTAACTTAAACTCAGATATGCCAAATCTTTGTTGAAAAGTTTTATAACATTTACCAGACTTGAATTTAAAGTTTTGGGGACAAAGTTAACTTTCTTTTTTTAATTAATGCTTTGAGACCACTTTCGATCAACAGATAAATGTGGTAGAGCAAGATTGAAAGTAAGCCATACAAAACTGTGGTACAAGTGACAGTGCCTCATTGTGAGGTGAAAACCGAAACTAAACTGAATGCGGAGTCTTGTAAATTATATTCGTTGAATCTTTAAAACCACTTTTTCTCACTAATAGAAAAACAATATTACACTGCGACTATTTGTAGCTATCTTGGCGTCCAGTGTTATACAACCATCGTTTCCATGGAGCTTGGAGATTGATAACTAGGCTTTGGTGAAGTAAAGCCGCAGTGATAAAAATGGAGGATATGTTATGCTGACCATTTTATTTTTCTTATTATTAAGCAATACTTCTTTTAAATATTTCTAAAGGGGTATCAGAAAAGGTGCTATTCAACATATCAAAACCACTGGTGGATATCAAATGTTCTTTTTTCAGAGCTTGCACAGTCACCTGTAATTTGAAACACCTGTTCTTTCGTTGTGAAAACGTTAACTTGTTCCTAGCTGTATTAAAATGATCAACTCTTTTGTCCATTTTTCTTTTTAATGTTTATCACTTACATGGTAACTGGGATCCAAAAGTAGATGATATTTACCACTGTTGTAAAGATGTTGTACTTGAGGACTAGAGCAAATTATCAGATGTGTTTAAATTGGTGTACTTTTGCACTGTTGTCCTCTTTTTAGTGAAGTGTAAATAAAGCACAATATATAGTTAAATCAATAATTTACTAAAGCCACTTATATTTTTTTATCTTTACCTTTTTTAAAAGTACTTAACAACGATAGTTATACGTGCTCAAAGTTCATCTCAGTTAAGAAACGTTACTTAAGGATTATCGTGCACCCTATATACTGGACGCACAGCTCTGCGGTGTATTATCATACATCCTATGTATTGGTCGCAGCTTAAACTCTGTGATTTATTATCGTACTTCCCATATACTGGCCACGGCTTAAACTCTGTGATGTATTATCATACATCTCATGTACTGGCCGCAGCTTAATGATGGTTTTCCGACATAAAAAACAAACAAACAAACATACTAGATACACGACCCTGAATCGCATGCCAACTTCTGATGGAGAAAAGTTATCAGTAAATAAAAAGTTGTCCAACCTGCAACTCCTGAATCTTCTCATTCTGTTGAGCCAGTTGTTCCTGTTGTCTTCTTATCTGTTCCTCCTGCTGTCGTCGGATTTCATCGCTGTGTCTATTGTCTTCAATATGAAACTACAGAAAGAAAGGTAAAAAAAGTCATTATTTCCAGCGTACTACGAGTTTAAACATAGATACGTTTAAACAATTGTAGACGTTTTTATAGGCAAAAAAACCTTTCCTCAAGCCTGATAGAAGCAGCTCTAAAGGCTGACAAATTCGGTTAGTTATCTGGATGTACAACAGAATGAAAATTGTTTAAAACTGTATCAGTTATCGAAATTTCAAGTTTCTATAGAACCACCTAAAATATGTAAAACTTCCTGAATCGCATTAGTTACGTGATATACAGTAATTGTAAGATTTTCAATTCTATCAGTTATCGACAAGCTAAAGAAACTTTTCTAAGTTGTAACAGTTACCTAAATGTAGAACAGTTGTAATACCTTCCAATGTTGTAACAGTTACCTAAATGTAGAACAACTGTAAAACCTTCCAAAGTTGTAACAGTTACCTAAATGTAGAACAATTGTAATACCTTCCAAAGTTGTAACAGTTACCTAAATGTAGAATAACTGTAAAACCTTCCAAAGTTGTAATAATTACCTAAATGTAGAACAGTTGTATTACCTTCCAAAGTTGTAGCAGTCACCTAAATGTAGAACAGTTGTAATACTTTCCAATGTTATAACAGTTACCTAAATGTAGAACAGTTGTATTATCTTCCAAAGTTGTAGCAGTCACCTAAATGTAGAACAGTTGTAATACTTTCCAATGTTATAACAGTTACCTAAATGTAGAACAACTGTAAAACCTTCCAAAGTTGTAACAGTTACCTAAATGTAGAACAGTTGTAATACCTTCCAAAGTTGTAACAGTTACCTAAATGTAGAACAGTTGTAATACCTTCCAATGTTGTAAGTTACCTAAATGTAGAATAGTTGTAATACCTTCCAATGTTGTAACAGTTACCTAAATGTAGAACGGTTGTAATACCTTCCAAAGTTGTAACAGTTACCTAAATGTAGAACAACTGTAAAACTTTCTAGAGTTGTTTCAGTCATTAGCATGTATAACAGCTGTAAACCTTCCTAAGTTGTATCAGTTAACAAAATGTAGAACAACTGTAAAACTTTCTAGAGTTGTTTCAGTCATTAGCATGTATAACAGCTGTAAAACCTTCCAAAGCTGTATCAGTTACCAAAACTTTGAACAGTTGTAAAACCTTTCAAAGCTGTATCAGTTCAATTAACAGAGAAAGTTTTACGACTTTATATACAACACAATTTTATGAGAAGTACAAATAAAACACATCCTGCCTCGAGATCCGACTCGTTGCTATCAGAATTCAACTCTGACAGGAAGGTACTTTTTACACAATTCACTAGTGTCAGGTATGACGAACCGAAATCAATACAAAAAAAAAAAAAATAGTTCGTAAATTAAAAGCTCACGTTTCGCATCTGCTTGTTTCGGGTTAGTGTTTTTGCCTTTCGTACGACTCTTTCAACCCTTTTACGGTAATCTTTATGGAGCAGCGCTGCGCTCCATAGTTTCTGTCCAGACATGGCAACAACAAAGACCCTTTCTCTCTCTGACTAAGGCCAGAATGTCAGTCGTTCAGTTCATAAAGTAAACAACAGGGCGCTCTTTCTGTGACGTGAAGACAGGATAGTGTTGAAAGCCACGTGTTGTATGCAGATGTTGAAAACTTGCTCCTTTCCTCTGAGCTGAAGCCTGGGATACTGTACTAGAAGCAAAGGTTGTTAAGACTGTAAAATACACCCGCGAAAAGTTCAAGTAAAAATCCTCGAGGTTACATAAAATCTTCTGGCCATAAGCCTAAAGCAATGGACAGATAGGAAACAGCTAGGTCAGCGATGCTTGTTTTTAGAACTATTTTTAGTGGCTATGCTAATTGGCGTTTCAAACACGAGTCTGGTATCATAATTTTCTGTTCGTGTAGAGAAATAAGCTTATTGTTCTCACCAGCGACTGAACTTCCGGTCCGTGAAAAAAAAAAAAAAAAACCCAAGAATCCCAGGAAGCGGAACAACTATTGTAAAGTTGCAAAGAACGATTCCTATCCACTTCATAAAAAATACAAGAAGAGAGAAACGTGTACAGAAAATACGGAACAGGTATTATAAAATGATAGAGACGTTGCAAGAACAATCCTTAACCAGTTTATAGAAGTTACAAGGTCCCCCGGTGGGACAGTGGTAAGTCTTAGGATTTACAACGCTAAAATCAGGGGTTCGACTCCCCTCGGTGGACACAGCAGATAGCCCGATGTGGCTTTGCTATAAGACACACACACAGAGAAATTACAAGAGAGACAAGTATATATAAAATATCGTCACGTTCATCTGGGTCTGAGAGTGTTTATAAAGTATCGTCACGTTCATCTGGGTCTGAGAGTGTTTATAAAGTATCGTCACGTTCATCTGGGTCTGAGAGTGTTTATAAAGTATCGTCACGTTCATCTGGGTCTGAGAGTGTTTATAAAATATCCT